TACCATCTGTCATGTCTTACTAAGCTTTACAGAGATGCTGCAATAATTGAATCTACAAAGGATGATGATGACCAGCAAATTAAATTGCTGAAAGCACAAGCGTTTGCCGACTTGGTTGACTATATTGAATTACAACGAGGTACAAAAACTGTTTTCAAGATGGCAGCTCTTGCTAATCTGTATTCTTCTCGCCTAGTCTCCCTTTGCTTGAATGATTATGTTCACACATCTCGTCTTCGCCACAAAGTGGTAATTGCAGAGTCAGATCTTATTAAGTCAAATGTCCATCAAGCCATACTGATTTAGCATTTGGTGAGGATTTCAGTCCAACCCTTACTAGAGATATCAGTAGGGATTTTGAGATAACAGTTCTGGTCAAAGCAGCAAAGATACTGAGAAAACATGTATTCAACATGAAGTATGATTTCAATGGACATTTCCCACCAGATAGTGAGATAAAGTCAGTACCATAAATACTCTTGTCTTTCCAGCAGATGGTGTTAGATGGACCTACAATAATGATACCAGCTTCAGAACATGTACCCGCTGCTGCACTTTCAATTTCACAGCTCATCATTTACAACTCTGTGAAGCAACGTTCGACCAACCCTGGCTGCATTCCACGTCATATTTGCGAACGTGATAATTCACTTGTATATATTTCCCTAAAGATCTATGCAAATACCAGAAAAGAAGCCTTGTTGATTTCATGCATGAGCATACTCTCGCTTGCAGACAATATCAACTGATCTCGCTTTTATGAAAAGAGTGGTATAGTCATTCCTGTGAAAGCTTGTCATGTAGTCTTTGCGACAAATGCCTTTGACAACATCGACCACAACCCAAGTGCAATGATAAGCAAGTCAAGTTTTCATGGATCTTGTCTGTCTATTCTTCAATTTCCTACTCCTGGCAATGCTGGCACTAAAATTGGTCAAGAATGCATACTCAACCTAAAGGGGATCGACATTCTTCCACAGTCCTACACAACCATGAAAGAGGTTGCTTTGCCTAATGATGAGGTCATTTATGTGGCACCCCCTCTAATGACAACTTTGCAAGATACCTTCCAGTGGTTAGAGCATGCTCGTAAGATCTACCTCAAAGTTCAGCTCAGCAACAGTGATTGGATCTCCTGGGCAGCATACCATGTGAGTCAAGCGGTTGAAATCCCTACTGTTACACCATACTTCATGCTGTCATTGTTCAGGGAGTCAGATCCGGATCTGTGTCAGAGAACCCTAATGATATCCTTCTCAGCTTTGATGCCTGGTTCAATCAATAAAATGAAATTGAGTCACAGTTTCTGTATTGGCACCGTGAATGATGCTTGAGCTAACCACACTCCAGTTTGTCAAGTCCGTCCATACTGGAGACTTCAACCTCTTCCTTAAGACCATTGAACAACTATTACCCTGGGTATTTGCTCTGGAGAGAACTAATTACATACGAAACCTGACCATCCATAACCATGATATGCATGCACTTGAGGAACAACATCCAGACTAGGTCACTTCGTTGGACAAAAATCTAGCCATGCATTCTCCACAATTGCTCTTGACCAAATTCATGAGCAACTCATTTGTGAGCTCAAAAACAACAATTCTGGTGTAATGGGTCTCACGGAAAACCCAGCAAAGCTTCGATGCCATTTGATTGTTGGACCACAACTGTCACGCCTTATACAGGAGTTTGAGCAGCCAACTCCTAGTACAGACGGAAGGCATCATGAACAGTATGCTAAGTTTCAGCATACCTTCCAAGCAGATATCCAGACACTAGTTAAGGCATTTGTTGACCCTGGGAATCAATTCCTTGAAGATTCTAGGAAGCTGATTGAGCTTGATGGCTCTCTAATTATGACAGATGAAGTAAGTTGCACATTAGAAATATAGATGTTATTTGAAATCATTTAGACAGATTTCTGTATATCTATAAAGATGTATAATATTATATTTGGATATATTTGATATTGATGTAGTTGTCTTCAGATCATATTAGTTACTGGGAACGTTTATTGTATTGATAATATCAATTTTCTTCACAGGTAGTGGATGCTGTCAAATCTGTCATAATGGTTGTTAGCCAGCAGTACAATCACTTCTTTGAAAAGCGCATTGCACCTCCAAAGTAGAGAAATGAATCCATGGACTGCACCTATTCCCTGGAACAAGCTGAAACTATTAGATCCATACCCACAATTAAATAGACAAAAGACAGAGGTGACTACTCTGAAAGAAAAGCGGTTAAAAGTCATACAGCTACTGCTTGCTGCAAATTCAGAATGTGAAATCAACAAAGATGTATTTTCACCAGAGAGCAGCTCCAGCCCACTATCACTTTCTCGAATGGACATATGTTCCATGGTACTAAAGCTGACATCCTAACACTCCTAGAGGGAGAAGCTCACATTATGCCTTCAACTCATCCTCAAAGTGATGCTGCAATACTGGATGGTCCAGCAATTGTACAACTTATCAAGCCTGGAAGTTCCATGACAATATGTGATTACATTTATGGCAAAGTTTTTCCTCATTTGTTAGCTTGGCTGGAAAATCTTGCAAGACTGGACAGTATATGGGACATCTATAAGCAAAACAGTTTAAAATCTGGCACCAGAGAGAGTCGAGGCACATGTATACGCAGACCAAGGAACCTGGCAACTTCAAAAGGTTTCTGTGAGTTGATGACAACTAAACTGAATTATTCACACTCATGAGTGATGAAATTGAAAAGACGAAACTTCAACTAGAGAAGCAGCTGATATCAACTTGTGGCACCAATGCTGTCAGCACACTACCTAGTGAAAACCTTGCTAATATCCCTCCTTGTTTGCATGTTACATATAGAGCTGCCAATAGACACAAACGGGTTATAATCAGAACAACTGACAGTGATGTTGTGGTGATTGTCATAGCAGTTAAGCAAGACTTCCAGGAACTTTGTGAGCTCTGAATTGCTTTTGGATGTGAGAACTTCAGGTACATTCCTGTGCAAGAAATTGCCCAGCAGGTGGGCAATGCTCGTTCAACTGGTCTCCCATTTTTTCATAGCTTTAGAGGCTGTAAGAAGACTTCTTGGGCCATATGGCAGCAGAACACAGATATTACTTGGACGTTTAGGGCCCTCTCAGCCTCACCTGCCTCCTGTAAGTAATTCCACGATTAATGTATCAAGTGATGCTATATGAAAGAACTAATCTGAGGTGTAATAACTAGTCCAATAACTGAATAAATATTTATTTAAATGAGAAATGTTTATTAGACTACCGCGTGCTACTACCGGTAGTTTCATACCCAATGAATTTGCCTTGACCTATGCTGTAGAGTCATAAATCTCATGTCACCAACGTTATCAGATAATCTGTCATCAAAAACATACATTTAGATCCTTACATAATACAAATATCCTGACAAGAACCAGTCAGGATACGATTTGCTGGTGGCGGTCATTTTTAATTTATGCAAATGAGGGTTAAAAAAGGTGACCCCAGCTTGTGTCCATATCTTAAATTTTTGATATGGTCATGGACAACATTCATGCCAAAGGGGATGTTTGTACTACAATTTGCAGGTTTTAAGCCTTAGCAAGCCCACTAATAGGTAATCTGCTCTATGTTGTAAAAAAACAACTTTTCAATGGCATGCTCGAATGTTAAACTGTCATATAACACCAGTATAGCATAGCATTTGTGTGATTTAGCGAAAACCAACTGGAGATAGGTACAATTAGCTTGAAGTGTATTTGGCTTAATTATTTTTTTTTAAATATACAAACCACATTAGTCTAATTTAGTTTGTGGGAACATGAATCATAAGTTTACTAGGCTAACTTTGTAAAATAAAGTTGTTAAAGTTTGTACATTGTGTGTATACTTTAATCTTAATAGTGTGTCATTTTAGAGTCCATGAATTTACATAAGTTCAATGCACTACTTGAGTTTGCATGATATTAAATGAAGAAAGGTCCACTATAACTTTATATGTATTGATGTCATTCTATGCGAGTTCCCCAACATTACATATGATACATACACCTGTCAAAATGTTATTAGTGACCAATGGATAACATCAATCATCCCAAATATACACTTTTGCCAGCTGTGGGAAGACGAAACATGTAAGCTTTATATTGAACACTATTAGAGACAATTGTATATTCGACATTCCATACACCACATGAAGACTGTTCATGTTAACCCAAGTCAGCAGCACAATACCTTCTACTCGAGTTTATATACCGTATACAAATATACACAAAAGGCCATGATAATAAATAAGCCTGTCATACCTGTATGACCAACGTGAGACTGGGTCATGTTGGTTCTCTGTAAACAAGTCACTGACCCGATTTACTCGTTCATCAAATAAGAGTTACACGACAAGAACAGGTATCCGAGTTGTAAATAATTAGTATTCGTTTTTCTGCTTTTAAATAGTTGCGCAAAATACATACACACACCTTTATTTATCTTGGTATACACACCCACAATTTGTCTCCTCATTGTATTTATATATAAATAGCGTAAATAATTATCACAATTAAGTTTGTACAACACATACAACTTATACAAATTTGCAATCGGCATTTGCTCTCTGTATATTCAGTTCTCATTTAACTATTTTAAGTAATATACGAATAAAAGTAGATGGTGTCCTTATGACTATCAACTTGCTGATTTTAAACAAAACTTCAACTAATATTAAAATATTCTTATATAATATATATATCATAATATATATACTACTGGTAGAGAAAACACATGCTCTGTAACAGAGTGATTATTTATAGGATTTATTTTAGAAATAATAATCAAATACTTAGTGAAAACAATAAAATATTAATATGCACGCTGATTCAATGGAAATATGCCAAAAATAGTGGCTGTGAGACAAGCTAAAACTATCTTTATTACTTTGTACACAAGACGTTCGAGGCACTTGGTTAGTTGATTGACGAGAAATAATGCAATAACCAATCTAGTGTAAATAGAAATATTGTTAAACTTTATGAGCGAAGCATGCAGGTTCACTGAAGTTTGAATAACTCCCGTAAGGCGGTGCTGCATCTTCTGTTACATTAGCAGTACTTACATCCGATGGGTTGTGCGATATTTCTTCATACATTGGAGGCGGTGGTCGACTGTTCGCTAAATTTGCGAGAGGGTTGACATAATATACCGGCGAAACGAGACTATGTGATTCCGGTGGTAATGTGTTGTAACAAAATAAACCATCTGGGCTGTAACAAAATTGAACCAAAATATATGACACTGTAACAGTTGAACATTTTCTGAGGCTAATGTGGGAAAACAATATTTCAACTCAATGTTAAAATTGTAATAATTATTATATAGTTATATATTATGAACGCCATGATCTATTTTAGAGCAAAAAAGCCACTTGTTTTTACCTCACAAAACAGTGCTTTAATCTTCCCCCTCTCTCTCTCCCTCTCCCTCTGCGATGTTTACTTACCGCGTACTATTCTCATATGTAGGAGGTCGCACAGGCCTTGTAGGGTTGTGTTGGGGCAATCTTGACTTCTTGCAACGTTTGTAACCATGAATATAAATTATCACAAGTGAAATACATACTATGGCTAAAACGAGAACTAGTGGAATTGCCGTCATGTGAGCTAGAAGAATTAAAGTATGTGTTAATAAATTAAAATGTTAAAAAATATCTGGCATTTAGCAGCTCAGTTATAATAATACCATAATAACTAGGCTAGAGTGTGAGTGACACTGTTTAGAAATAGAATCGAAATATTGTGGACTGGCTGTGAATTCACTTAAAATGAGAATGCGTGGAAACCAATGGTGAATGAGAATAATCCACTGGAAATTGCGAAAACCATTTATCAGTTTTTACATCAAACTCTAACTATCAAATCACAGCAACTGGCAGCAATACATTCAGAAAGTTACTACAAACTATGTATTACCCACGTCCAGCTACCATGCTTTCAATATCAAAATTATGGAGATCATGGATGATGGAAGACAGCATCATCCTTGGCAGTAGAAACTATAAGAACGACACCGTGGACAAAAACATGATTGATACAAGAAATATTCAATATTCAACACCAATTATTAATTATCCTTCTAGATTACAGACTGTAGTACATAAGAAACCCAATTAAATAGTCAGAATTCAAGATGTAGGGAGATTAAGATTAAGACATTCAGTCTGATTAGTTTCAACATAGAGGGTCTATGGTTTTAATCATATACTAAATGGTTAAAGCGGGCG